CATGTAGATTCAAACATATTATGATGCAAAAATCTTTGCTTTTAACAAGATAGAGAGATGAAAGACATAGAGAGAACAACTTAAATCAATAATCAAAGTAAACAATTGCATTAGCTGAACGTAACCTCAGAATCCGTCATGGAATTACAACAGAATAGCCCTAGATGCTTAGCTCTCCATGAATGGAGTTGAATACAAGATGAAAGAAAAGTGAGAGGAGTATGAGAGAATGAATGCATTAAGTCAAGTCCCCTGGGTCTCTTAATATAGGGCTTGCTTGGGCTTGGACTCTGAATATTCAGTTGAAAGAATATTTTATCTCATATCTTCCAAATAACTAAAAGATTTATATATCCGAATGGCATTTTTCTGTAAGCAAATATTCCAAATGGACGTGTAAATGTCATCTTCTCCTGGTCCTTTGGATCTACCACAATCTGATTGTACCCAGAATATCCATCCAAAAAACAATAAAAAGACTGAACTGTCAATCTTTCCAAAATCTGATCCATAAAAGGAAGAGGAAAATTATCCTTCCTTGTGGCCTTATTCAGCTTTCTATAATCAATGCACATCCGCCACCCAGTAATTGTCCTAGTAGGAATGAACTCATTTTTCTCATTATAAATTACTGTCATTCCACCTTTCTTTGGCACTACCTGTAATGGACTTACCCATGCACTGTCAGAGATAGGATATAATGCCAGCCTCTAGAAGCTTCATAACTTCTTTTCTAACCTCCTCCTTCATCACAGGATTTAGTCTTCTCTGTGGTTGAGCAACTAGTTTATAATCATCCTCCATAAATATTTTGTGCATGCAATAAGTTGGGCTTATACCTTTAAGATCTGAAACTGACCATTCAATAGCTCCTTTGTTGGCTTTCAATACTTCTACCAACTTTTCTTCTTCTATGGAAGATAAAGAATTACTAATGATGATCGGTTTCTTTCTACCTTCTTCTAATAAAACATACTTTAAATGTGGTAGTAATATTTTCAACTCCAATTTCTTTTCCTTGACCTCTTCCTTGGTATCAATCTTCTCAAAATTCGCCTCATGCAATGGGAGTTCTTTTAACACCTCCAAGTCAGTCAAGCACTCATCAATCAGTCCTTCTTCCTCTTCATTCAAATCTTCACATGCATCAATGAGCATCTTCTCTAAAGGGGAAGAACAATGTACCATCTTCTCTTACACCATACAAACTTCATCAAGCGTGTCCAACTGGAAACATGCTTTATCATCCTTGGGATGTGACATGGGTTCAAACACATCAAAATTCACTTCTTCATCTTGCACTCTTACTTTAAGCTTGTCATTCTCCACATCAATTAAGACTCTTGCAGTCTTCATAAACGGTCTCCAAGAATGAGAGGCACATCTCCATCCTCCTCCATCTTCATTGTAAAAAAATCCACCAGAAATAAAATTTTTTCCTCTTTCACAAGCACATCTTCAACCACCCCATTAGGGTATTTAAGATACATGTCCACCAATTGGAGTGTCATTCTAGTAGGCTTGAGTTCCACACCCTCAATCTTCTTAAACATAGAGAAAGGCATTAAGTTAATGCTAGCTCCCAAATCAATTAATGCTCTTCCAACTACTAACTCTCCTATGGTACAAGGAATGGTGAAGCTTCCTGGATCTTTAAACTTAGGAGGTAATAATTTATGTATGATTGCACTGCAGTTTCCTTGCACTTCAATGATCTCCTTTTCAATGTATTTTCTTTTCTTCGTGAGGAGCTCCTTTAAAAACTTTTCATATGAAGGCATTTGTTGTAATGCTTCAGAGAAAGGTATGTTGATTTCTAACTTCTTAAAGATTTCCATGAAACGCTCGAATTGTTTTTCTTTCTCCTTCCATGAATAAATCTTTGGATAAGAAAGGGGTTTTTCAAAAAATTTCTCTTTTTTTCTGTCGTCCTCTTCTTCTTTCTTTTTTTTTCTCCCTCAATTCTCTCCTTTTCTTCTATCCCACTTTCTTCCTCCTCTCTCTTTTTCCGCTCAACTTCTTCTTTTTCACTCAAATTCTCTGTCTCTTTTCTCTTTACTTTTCTCTCATCTAACACCTTGCCACTTCTAGTAACAATGGTCTTACACTTTTCCCTCTTATTACCTTTAGCACTCATCTCAAAAACCTCCATCTTTTTGACCAACTGCCCAACTTGCATCTCCATACTTTTAAATGTAGCCTCCGTATTTTTATATTAAGAAATGCTCATTTACATAAATTGCTGGAAAGTTTCCTTAAGCTTTGTAGTCTTCTCAAATGGAAAAAGGTTGTTGCTGCCATTATTGTTGTTGTTGCTGAACCTGCGAAACATTTTGTATCTCTTGTGGCCATTGAGAGAGTTTCTTCGTCAAATTCTCTAATTGTTGAGTAATAATTTTACTTTGTGCAAGCAAAGCATCATGAGATTGTAATTGTAGGACTCCCTTCTATTGAGGTGGAGCTCCTCTTTCACTATGCATCTCATTGTCATTGGTAGCCATGTTGTCAATCAATTCATAGGCTTCATCTGAAGTCTTGCACTTGATATTACCTCCAACTGAGGCATCTAGCATCAATTTGGTTTGTGAGCCAAGACCTCCAAGGAAAAGAATGACTATCATTGCTTCGTCAAAACCATGCATGGGCGTCTTCCTCAACAAACTCTTGTATATATCTCATGCTTGACCTAAACTTTCTTCCATGCCCTGCCTGAAAGAAGAAATTTCTTGTTTACCTTTGTTGATTTTCGATTGTGGGAAGTATTTGTTCAGAAATTTTGCAACCACGGCTTCTCATTCAGTAAAGTTATCCTCCGAGAAAGAATTCAACCATAACTTAGAATTGCCTCCCAATGTGAAAGGAAACAAACTAAGCTTTATAACGTCATCCAACACTCCATTGATCGTCACAGTGTTGCAAATCTCGTTGAATGTGGTCAGATGCTCATATGGACTTTCATGAGACAATCCATTGAATTGGTTGCTCTTCACCAATTGTATCAATGTTGGTTTTACTTCCATGTTTGTAGCATTGACCCTAGGCCTTACAATGCTATTAAAATGATGAGGGCCAACAACTGTTGTGTAATCTGCCAGGGTGTGTCTGCCATTATTCTCTCCAGCCATCTTTTCAGTGCTCTGGTCAGATCCTTGAGGTGAAGGTTGTAAAAGTGTCTCTGGAGAAGGAAAAAATTATCTGGACGTTCTATTTCTCCTTCTCCTTCTAGTCTTGTTCAATCCTTCAAGAAGAGGTTCAAAGTTTTTCTTACTTCTAGTACGAATCGTATCCTACATACACAAGAAAACAAAACCCTAAAAAATAATTATTAGTACAAAACAAAAACAAAATAATAAAAAAAATTAAGTCAAAGCTAATCAATAATCACACAAATAGAATAGTTAAACCACGAGTCCTCGGCAACGACGCCAAAAATTTGTTAAGACTCCAGCAAGTGTATTGATAACGGTTGAATTTACCGTTATTTGATACTTAACTTTTGTACTAAAAACAACCTTTTTGCCTTAGAAACTAGCTTGAAATCATAAGTTTGTGTGAATAAGAGAGTTGAAGGTGAATTTAATGATTTTATGCTAGATTTCCTTGTTTTCAACAGGAATTGAGATGATTTGGAAGAAGAATTGAAGTAGTAAGGAGTTGGAACTCAGGAAGAGCTGGAAAAGCATCAGGAACTCAGGAAGAGCTGGAACCAGATTACACTGTCTCACGCTTGGCTGCCCTTTTTCTGGAGCCCTCAGCGCAGGAAGTCTCTGTCTCGTGCCTGAGCGCCCTTTTTAGGGGCGCTGAGCGCCACTTCCTCGAGTCGTGCCACGCCTTCTTGCCTTCTAAGCTGACCCTGAGCGTCATATGATCTCGTATGCCGCCTGGGCACCCTAAGTGGGGCGCTGAGCGTTAGTTTCGTGGGCTTGGACCTGTTTTCTGTTATTTTTATGTTCTATTTAAGGACTTTGACGTCTTAGGGACTGGATCTTTGGACGGAATAGGCATAGAAACACACTTTTTGATCCCTCGAAGGCGGATTTGGATGCAGAAGCTCCTATCTTCAACTTCTAAGGTTTTATCTTTCATTCTTTTTCTATTATTCATCTAGTTTCACCATGTCAATGGTGAACTAAACTCTATTTGTTGTTGGGGAATAATGTAAACCTTTGTAAACTCTCATGTATTGAATTGATTCTTGATTCTGGAAGGTATCTTACAATTCAAGTTCTGGAGAATTATTTGCAGAAGCAGTTTTGCTCAGGAGTGGGGGTATGGGGTTCTGGATGTCTTAAGCTTCTGTTCGTAAGAATTAATTATTAGGGATGACGAAAGATGCTATGATCTATAATTAAGGATAGGCTTTCTTCGCCGAGGAATCGGGTTTTAAGTATTTTAGATAGTGACATTGACATTAATGAAGAACTAGAATTCATATATACATGAGAGTAAACTAGGTGAAATCTAACCCCAACAACATATTCATCCCATAATCTCAAATTTGTTCATCTCTGCACTTTTGTCCAATTGATCAAGTTGCATGCATATTTACTTTTTCGTATTTGCATTTTTAACCAAAAGATCTTGTTTTCAAGTCTTATTTTATCAAGAAATCACATAACTGTTTAGGTCGTGAGTCTCTAGGGAAACGATACTTGGTCTTACCATGTTTATTACTTGATACGATTTGGTACACTTGCCGGAGTCTTACCATTTAATCAAGAAATCACTAACAATTAATGAAAGAAGCATAAAATAATTCAAATCATATTCAAATACATGAAAGTTTAGAGGTTACATCTTCCCCAACAAAAAATGAGTTTAGTTCTCCATCGTCATGCAGAACCTTGGTTTACAATGGAACGAAAGTGAGATAAAAACCCTAGAAAATGAAGAGGAGAGCTCCCGCATCTAAATCTGCCTCCAAAGGGTCGAAAAGTGTGTTTCTGCGCTTTATCCTTCCAAAGATACAAACCCTAGAACGATCAAATCCTTAAATAGATAAATAAAAATTGGCCTATAAGCCTCGCTGGCACTCAACGCCCTAACTAAGGGCAAGCAGGCGTTACTACATGGAGACTAGCGCTCAACGCCCCTCAGAGGGCAAGCAGACGTTCAACGGTGCAGCAAACTGGCGCATAGCGCCCCCAAAAGGGCAACCAGACGCCCTACGCCTTCTTTATCCTTCTTCTCTGATGCTTTTGTTGTCCCTCCTGTGTTCTGACTCCTTGATACTTTTGCTTCCCTTCCAAAATATACCCATAACCTACAAAATTAAGGGAATTTAGTGATAAAATCATAAAGTATAGCCTCGATTCACTTATTCACAAAACTAAACTAAAAACAAGAGTTCAAGCAAGCTTCTAAGTCAAAAAGAGTTGATTTAGTATCAAAATTGCCTCACAGATAATGGTATATTCAACCGTTATCACAACCCCAAACTTGAAATTTTGCTTGTCCTCAAGCAAAATGCAACTTGGCTTAAATAAAATAATCATACTACAATGGTCAAGCAAATCAAAAAGAATTTTCTTCTTAGACAAGTAAATCACTCATGTATGCTCATCATAAAAAGATCAATCAAGATATAATGATGTCTTAGCCAATCAAGCCTCAACTATGGTGCTCGCATAACAAGGAATACATACAACAGATGCAAAAACCTTATGAGTGATCAACAACCAAGCAGAATGTCACTGTAATGCATGGAACCATTCCTCACCAAAGAAAGTGTTTCACTCAAGCTCACAGGTGTACAATGAGGTGTCAATGTCTCTTTCACTCTACTATCACAATGTCTCATAAATCAACTTTTCCTCTCATTTAAACACATCAAAACATATTCACAAGCAAGTTATCATCTCAAGGACTTTTCAAGGCTTGTAATGTGGTTGGGCTAAGAAGAGAATTGGTTTTTCTAGACAACAAAATTTCTTGAGTTAAGAGAGTGAACAATTTCTTCATAATTCAACACTAATCTCTCTTTCTCCTTCTTCATATGAGAAACGACTTCTCAACCTATTCCCAACTTCTATTCATTGAGCATATCCTTTCTATTCTTCTCTTTTTTTTTTCTTTTCTTTCGCTTTGCTCAATGCTCTTTTCCTTTTCTTTTCTTTTTATTTTCTATTTATTTTTAAAAAAATTCTAATTTCCCATCAACCCCAAAATTGAACCATTCTCCTCTACCACACAACATATTCAACTCAACTCAAGGCAAGGATTTCAAAAGGTTTTCATATTCAGGCTCAAGGTTCAAAGGGTAAAACATAAAATTTTTCTTTGTGCATTAGGTTAACTATTTGGCATTGGCTTAAGGGAAAAGAACAGATGACCTTGATCATTTGAAATAAGCAAGTAAATAGCTCAACATAAAAACTTAGACAAAATCAACTATGATTCCAAAGCAATAACATTCAATCAACAATAACTTTGTTCCACAATTTGATAAACATTCTGCCCAGCATATTAATCACAATTGAAATCATGCATCTATTTTTAGAAATTGTATTTTCACCTTTAAATAAAATGTCAAGTTTATGTTTTCTACTTATTCTAAAATTATCTTAATAAGAATTATCTTCTAGAACTTCTCAGAAATCATCTTCCCTTTTGAAGCTACTTTTCCATTACATTGTGTATGTTTTGAATATCAATTGTGGAATTTAAAAATACTTTTACTTGTAAATACAGTTTTTTATTTTTATCTTTATTATGTCTTCAAATTTGAGAATGTATTTGAAGTTCGCATATATATGTTTTTAATTTGATCCAAACGCAACTTCTATTATTGTCTTTTGGTATCACTAACGGTCGAATAACAAGACACTATATAGAACAA